CACTCCAAAGGCTTATAGGGACAAGAAGCCATATTTGTTCAACAGAGATTCATATACAGCGGATGGGAAAAGAAAGACAAGGAGGAAAGCAACTGAGAAAGAGGATGGAGCTGAGAAAGAGGATGGAGCTATGAAAGCGGATGGAGTTTAGAAAGCGGATGGAGCTTAGAAAGCGGTTGGGACGAAAAGGAAAAAGACCGGAGTAGCAGGCAAGAAGAGCAACAAGAAGACAAAGAATAGATAAAGAAGTGAGAGTTGGTATGATTTATGTTGAAGTTATTTTGTGTTTTTAGGGAATGACTTAGGCATTAAAAGTCTACTGATGGATGAACTGTTATTTTAGGTTGACGTTCTTTTGTGCTTTTAGGTACTTATGTGTTGGCGAAATTTAGGGAAATGTAAAACTCATATTCTATAATGTATTTGATTTGGTACTACTAGTATTATTGAGTACTACTATGTATTATGCAAGTGTACAAAGAGAAGAATTAAAAATAAAGTAAAACGTTTAACACATTTTTCATAAATAATTTATTACTTAAAAAAATAAAAAATGTTTAACACATGCGCCGTCAAACCGAATACAAAATTATATTTACTTTACTAATAGTTATACTTAGTTTTCGAGTAGTACATGTTTGCACATAGTTATATTTTGACTGTTTTCACGTATAATCAGCAGTACCTACATAAGATTATAACATTTCTAGTAGTATTAACTCAATTGATCACTTTAAATATATTTGCTATCGTTTTGTATACTAAAATTTCTGACAATACCATAATCGGATGTTTCACATAACAATGAGGCTAGTAACTCATACATTAACCATATATATAAGGTATAGTTTTAGTAAAAAACTATGTTTTGCTCTAAATTTTTAAATAAATTCGTATGTTTCCAGTGCTATCGAAGTATCAAGTAGACACAGTCGTAGGTACATAAACGAACATAGTAAGAAAACAAACCGTAAAGAGAAAAAGAGACAAAATAATCAACACAGTCATATTCAGTCATAAAATTCATACGTAGTCATACTCAGTTATACCTGGCAGAGAGAAAAGTAACATTGTCTGACAATGGATGATGGCTTCATTCATCGACCTCTTTTTTACTTTGTATTTGAGTTTTAATTTATTTCTCTTCTTTAGCGCATTATTTCACGTAACTAATAAAATCACTAAATAGTAAACCACTTCATTCTGGTATGATTTCTGCACACCTAGTTGCAATGCATGTTGGAGCAAATCTGTATTCAGAAATCTTTGGTGTTTTGGTCTTCAGAGGTTTGGTTCAAATATGTGTCTCTCACTTGGCTAGGAACAAATAATCCACTCTTTGAAGTCATCCTTGTCACTGCCGGAATCGGTTGGTTTCTCCAGAACACGGCTAGGCCGCTTCCGCCGAGCTGCAGAATGCAAACAAAATATGATTATAACAATGCCATTTTACATGTGACATGTTCTATGAAAACAATTTTAAACAGACACAGTCGTACGTATATTAACGAACATAGTAAGGAAACAAAACGTAAAGAGAAAAAGAGACAAAATAATCAACACAGTCATATTTAGTCATACATAGTCATACAACTCATACATATTCATACTCAGTTATACGTAGTTATACCTGACAGAGAGAATTACCAAAATAACAACACATAGTCATACTCAATCATACGTAGTTATACTTGGCAACCCTTTCCGGAACGAGTTAAGTTCTTCCTCAGGTATCATCCAACTTGACATATGTGGTACATGATATATCGTCCTTGTATATGTCATTATCCCCTTCTCAACAGTATAGTATATGCCTCAAGTATCATCCAATATGACGGTATCATCCAAATATACATTTTAGCACATATCGTTTTTGTACACCATCTTCCCATGGAATAGATACAAGGCCATGTCCATCAACAACTTCTTCTTGCTCATTATCTTCATGCATACCAAAGTTATTCTCATTATCAACCTCTTCGTGGTTTGTCATAAAAACAATTTCAAACAGTTATACGTAGTTATACCCAGTTATATCAGATAGAGAGAACACAAAACTAATCTAACAGTTATACGTAGGTATAACCAACGCAGAATAAATCACCTCCTCCGGCGCAGTTTGTATTGCTAAAGTCTGAATTTAATCT